AATATCACTAACTGTGTGTTCCTAACATATTCTTTCACTGTTTCCACAACAAAACAGTCAATATAATTGTTTTAATAGCCCTCCTGGTCCTGAAATTAAGATCATCGAAATTTTCGCCAATTTATACTGTCAGTTTGGTTTTCAAGATAATTCGGTCCAACACACTTCGTACAGACATAACTACGAGAGTAATTGATAGAGGAGTAAGGACTTTTTGAAATCTAGCTTTTTTGCAATTGAGGTAAGAATTTTGGAAAAACTGTTTGTCATAAATTTTTAGGAGAGCTTCGGTTCTGCAGCTATGTTTAAAGTGATGAAAGAAGTACGTTTGTTATACCTTTCAAAATTTCTTCCTATACAAATCTATACGGAAAAAAGTCTAACATTTCTAATGCTATGCTGACTAGGCATTTAAAATCGATGTTATTTGAAATTAAAGGTTTAATATTTATTGATTGTTTTCTCGAGCAAAATGCGTCTGTCTGCCTAAGGCCGTCATCAATTTGGGTCCTGGGTCCGACAAAATGCATGTTGCCCTCGAACAACTCGGTCGATAAATGTATAATATTTCTAGGATCCATTCAATGCTTAAAAGCATTCACAGTTCTTTTTTGTCGTCAGCATGGCATAGTACTGGGGTAGTAAGAGCATTTGCACTAGAGTCGTGGAGAAATGAGTTGATCCTTACTTCGCGGCTCCGAATCCTACAATGGGACATAGAGAACGGGCCTTCGGGTGAAATCGAGATCTCGTGTCGTAGTAGATCCCTTACTGTTCAATGGCCCTGAGTGTCGAGTAAATTTCTAAATGTGCAGCCTTCCACCAGCAAGTGATGGCGTCTCCATATTAGTAAAAACAAATCTCGACAGGGACGGTAACAACAAACAAACAAATGATAGAAACAAAATAGTTATCGCTGAATTTAATGTAATGTATTAAGAGTACAGTATATACTCGCCCATGTGCGGATTTTTGGGAGTTAAACTTTGGTCTAAAACTCAATGCTCGACTTAAAGGTGAGATTTAAAAAGACTGGTATTTTAGAGGGTCAATCTTTCTAACAAAAGTTTCAAAAAATACAAACGACTTAAAGGCAAGTTTATACGGTAAAAATAAATATTTATCAATTTACCTTAACGATTTTTAACAAAATCTTGATTCCTTTTTCTTCTTCAATATTAAGCTCAGACTCTAAATTTTTCAAGGCGTGTGTCCATTCGCCGTCATATAACTCGCACACCCTCTCAGCTAATTCCAGGTGACGTTTTGGATCAGTAAGGTCTTTTATTCCAGGATTCTTGTCTTTTTTTGCTGTCGACACACTTAGTCTAGAGCAAATCAAATCATTTCACTTATTAAACGTATGTAGAAAAGTATGGCATATATCAATGTACCTCGATAATTTATAATAACAAATTCTTATCCCATTTAATTTTAGTCATAAGATCAGACTCTTAATTGCTGAACTTCAACTGAAAAATGTTTTTCAACTATTTTGTCAACAAGTTTGGTTGCGGAAAAGTACAATAAGTATGAGAATGGAAGTACGTGTGTGTCTTACTGCTATGGATGTATTAGATCTTTAAGATTTTTATTTCCAATTTCAAAGGACTTCATGATTCAAGGGAATTGAATATTCTAAATAGTTGATCTTTTTATTAGAAAATACTATAGAAATTTCAAGGTAAAGTCTTCGAATTTTAATAAGTTTTACTACATGAACACTAGACAGTATTACTAAAATGTGGTGTCTTAAATTACATAATTATTTAATTTCGTTTTCTTTTTTTCTCTTATATTATTTCTTCTGTAATATCAAAATGTAATTTAATTTTACCTATTTAACTCAATTTCGTTTTTCTTCTCTGAAACTTTTTTCTGTAATGTGATTACAGTTTCTTTGTGTTCCTCCAAGCTTTGGATAAGTTTACTTGATTGAAGATTTAAATTTTTTAATGCCTTCTCATATTCTCCAAACATCTCCAACCTCTTTGAGATTTCATATTCCATCTCTCTTTTTAAGCAGAGTAAAAAATTTAATAGTTTTATCACAAAATATACCAAATAAAAATTGAAACATTATATCAGAGGATTCCCGATATAGACACTGGAATGAAATTAATTTTTATTTATAGCGTATTTGACAACAACTCTTAAACTATTGAGTAACTTAATTAATTGCACTCAGTGATGATATAACCAAGGTCTTGCTTATGTTCTGTGTTCAATTGGTACATAGCTTTTATCATTAGGAAACGGAAAAATTTGATAAAGGTAATTGTCGTTTTTCATTTCTAAATTGAAAACATTAAAAAATTAGGGGGAAAATATCAAACTATTTAGATGAACACTAGATTAGATGTAAATTCACATTTGAGATCACATCTTAAAAGCAGACCATGTATAGGCATTAATTAACTGTATCTCACTTTCAATGACCATAGTGTTGGGCGGCGCCTTAAGAATTCCACTGACATCGAAAGCAATTTGTTTTTTTTTTACTTGCCTAGATGACTGAGTGGTCTAGCGCGCTTATGGTTAGCTACAATACTCACAATTATGTATTTTTTTCTCCACTAAAATCATTTTTACTGCTATAAAATGAAACACTGGCAACCGCTACACCACAATCAAATATTTTTACTCCAGTAAATCTTTTTTACTCCCTTATTGTCCTCTGCTTTCGCGAAAGCAAGGGGGCATTCAATCTCATCTGTCCGTCTGTCTGTCTGTCCGCCCGTCACAAAAACATTAACCTTGTCCATTACTTTTGATTTAGTGGAGCTATGAATTTCATATTTCACATGTGAATTTCTTGTGACAAGACTTTTCTTTGGGTATCACAATATTTGACCTTTTGATCTTGACCTTGGAGGTTGACCCACTTTTACACAAAAAATCCAAACTTTTACTTTGGCCATAACTTTTGAACTAGGACTTTCATATTTCACAAATGTATTCTTTGTGGCAAGGCATTTCATTGTACACCAACAACTTTGATCTTGACCTTGGAGATTTATGTACTTATATAAAAACTTTAACATTGGCCATAACATATGAACGGTAAGAGGTGGGGCTTTCATACTTCACAAACTTAATTTTTGTGATAAAACCTTTCATTGGATACCAAGAACTTTAAACCCTATGGCCTTGACATTGGAATTTGACCTACATTTAAAAAAAATAACCTCTGCCATAACTTTGAATGGTTAGGACAAGGGCATTCATAATAGATCTACACTGTGTTACATAGTACAAGACTATTTATTTCATTCATTCCTGATTATTGTCCGCCCGCTTTCGCTAAAGCGAGTGGACATTAAATCTCATTCGTCTGTCGGTCTGTCTTTAAACTTTAACATTGGCCATTACTTTTGATTTAGTGGAGCTATGAATTTCATATTTCACATATATATTCCTTTCGACAAAACCTTTCTTTGGGTATAACCACATTTGACCTTTTGACCTTGGAGTTTGACCCACTTTTACATAAAAAATCCAAACTTTTACTTTAGCCATAACATTTGAACGGTAGATACTAGGACTTGCATATTTCACATATATATATTCTTTGTGGCAAGACCTTTCATTGGATACCAACAACTTTGACCTTTTGACCTTGACCTTGCAGATTTACTAGTATGGAAAAACTTTAACTTTAGCTATACCTTTTTAACGATAGATACTAGGACTTTCATACCTCACAGACGTAATTCTTGTGAGAAGACCTTTCATTGGATACCAAGAACTTTAATCCCTCTGATCTTGATCTTAATGTTTGACCAACTTTTTAAAAACTTTAACCTTTGCTATACCTTTTGAATGGTTAAGGCTAGGGTTTCATACCACACATATTCAATCCTTGTGACAAGACCTTTCATTAAATTTTAAGAACTTTGACCCTTTGACCTTTGAGTTTGACGTACTTTTTTAAAACTTTAAAACCTTGGCCATAAATTTTGATCGGTTAGGGATAGGGTTTTCATACATCACATATGTAATATTTGTGTCATGATCTTTCTTAATCAACCATCAACTTTGACCCTTTGACCTTAAAGTTTGACCAACCTTTCAAAAACTTATCCTTGGCCATAACTTTAGAACAGGTACTAGTGCTAGGACTTTCATATTCACAATCGTATTTCTTGTGAGAAGACCCTGTTTTGGGTACCAATATATTTAATTTGCGTTAAAGAAAGGTTTAATCTTCGCTATGTTGCCATTCGGGGTCATCAGTGTTTCATAAGAAATGCTTTGAGGTTAACTTAGTCTTTATATACATAGCCTTGGTTTTGTACGCGGTTAATAAAGCGAATATAATATAAAATAAGTTAAAATAAGCTTCATTCCTCAAATATAAATGACCAAGAAATTAAAATTGTTTTGCTGATTTTTTTTATGAAGTAAGCAATTATTAAAATATACTCATTGCATTGATTCACTCACTCGCTAGAGTCGCAAAGTAATGAGTTAATCTTTCCGTCGCGGGTTGGAATCCAACTGTGTGACGTGGAGACCGGTCCTTCGGATGAGACCGTATAAACCGAGGTTCCATGTCAATGGCACGAAAACGATCCTTCACTACTAAATTGCCCTTAGTGCCGAATATAGGACAAAATTTACAGCTCTCCACCAGCAAATGGTAGCATCTTCATAGAAGTGAAAATTTCTCGAAAGGGACGTTAAACATTAAACAATCAATCAATCAATCTTATTTAATTCTAAAAATACTAATTGAAATCAGGTTAAAACATCAGAGCATTTATTAGTTATTGTCATCTGATTCTGACAAAAAGTTGTACCCATTTATAATTAAGCAGATCATTGGCAAACTCCTGGAAAATAACCTAAAATATACAGCTGACTTATAGGCGGACCGTCTAATAGGCGAGTACGTGGGGTGATCAAAAAGTTCGCGAACTAATTGAAAAATTTCCAAAAAAGAAATGATATAGGCTCTCAGTGTTGAAAATGTGCATCTGCCACCATTCTGTCCATGCGCGAATCACATGATATAGGTGGTCACGTGACATGCTCTGTCACAGAAGCTTAATTTTTTTTCCCGACAATTATAATTCTTAACATGTAAGTTGTTTTTTGCACCAACAAAAACAGTCCATTTGTCAGAAATTGCCTAATCTCGGCAATAGAATGGATGGGTAATGATATCCTTTTGCAGAATGAGCTTGGTGACCATCAAAACCCAAGTCATCGGTCTTTTTAGCGTTGTTTATTACATGTAGATAAAGTATGACTGCCTTCACTTTATCATATCTGATATGTTTAAAGTCTAAAGAAACGATATTTCAGGGATTTGATTATTATATTAATGTAAAGATATTCATCTATTTTCCTAACTGCAAGTTGGCGATTTTTCATATCGAATTGCATAACAAAGGACACATCTCACGTCTGCATTCACTGGGCAACAGAACAAACATCATTTTAAAACATCTCCCTTCCTTCTCTTAAACAATCAATTCAATTAATGACAAAATTTCTGGCAAGTCTTTTGTCTTATTAAATCGTGTACAAATATTATAAACTTTTACAAAGGAATTTCCAAGATACACGTTTAACTTTACAGCCTTTCGTTTCTCGAATACGACTGAGTCAACCATTTTTTTGTCACAAGTGATCAACCTTATGACGTCATTTTCATCTTGTGACGTCACAAACACGGGGAAAACATCCCATTACATATTTTATTTATAGAACATGTGAATGACTTTACGTGTGCCAAATTTCATTCTGATCTGAATTGTGGTTTTGTAAATATAGAGATAGTTTGCGAACTTTTTGATCACCCCTCGTATGTAAAAATAAAATAACACGGTCAGTCGTCGAAGTCAAGAAGCCAGAAATCATAGCACGTTCAGAAATATCTTGTCACATGTAATGTATATATCAAATATGAAAATCTAATCTCTTCTCAATGTAAGGATCAAGATGTGTTTGTGTTTGTGGAAAAAGGTCCAGTCACCAGGATTAAAATATGTAAAGTATGAAAGCCCCAACCCTTCATAAGTTATGGCCAAGGTTTGTTTTCAAAACTCCAAGGTAAAAGATCAAAATTCCCTTTCCAATAAAGATCTTCTTACAAGAATTATATATTTCAAGTAAAAAGGCCTTAGCCCTTACCATTCAAAAGCTATGGCAAAGGTTTAAGTTTTTTTTCATAAGTACGGAAATGTCCAATATCAAGGTCAAAAGGTCAAGTTTGTTGGTATCCAATGAAAGGTCTTACCACAAAAGATACATATGTGAAATATGAAAGTCCTGGTTTCAATCATTCAATAGTTATGGCCAAAGTAAAAGTTTGGAATTTT